CATTCATCGCGCACACACCGGCGGCTTTGGAGGAACAATTATCCACCCGTAATTGGTTCCCCGGCACGCCGCCGAACGTTCCCACGGCATGTTTCCCAGGACCTCTGGAGAGCAAGGCCGCCATAGCCTCGATCGCCAGGCTTCAGAATGGGTGCAACAAAAAAATAGAAATAAAGAGTAGAAATAATCTAATTCAGCGGACCAACTCCCCTCGTATGTCTATTTCGCCAATTTCCAGCCGCTTCTGAAGCCTGATATAGGCTAAGGCCACCCAAACCTCCACCACCAGACTTCAGATGCAGCTGCAACAAAGAGTAGAAATTGGCGATTAAACTGCTCTCATTTAGCGGACCAACTCGCCTGCATCTTATTTCTGCTCTTCCAGTCGCTTCTGGAGCCTGGTAGAGGCTGAAGCCGTCCTAGCCTTTTTCCAGCAAGCTTCAGAAGCGGTTGGAAAGATCAAGTAGCCTGTTGTGGCTGGGAAAGGAGCTAGAAATAGTCTATTAGTTCTAGACTTAATAAAAATCAAAATGGCATCTACATACATAGGGTTTACGACACAGAAACGGTTATATGCGAAAATGATTGAATCCCGTTATGTGTTGACAAGTTCGAAAAGAATCAACAAGTGGTTGTTTGGGCCAATGTAGCCAGCTAATTCACCTGGTCCATTGTAATATTTACTAGTACCTTTTTTTTCGGTCGAATTTGACTATTTACTACAAGCCTGCAAAGGAGTCATGGTGGAGACTACCGGTATATGTTATATAACTGCCGTGTCATCGGCCTGGCGCTGACGGGCGTCAGCCGGTCGGGGCACCCGTGTGGCCGCGGGCGCGCGTCGGGACCGGCGTCCGTCGGGCCGTTCTCGCGACCCCGCCGACCCCGAGGTCACCGCCAAAGTAAAGGGCTTTGGAGACTCGCGACAAAGCCACGAACACGGCGTGACGTAATGATGAAGTGGGGTGTCAAGATCGGCTCGACCTCGGGTCAAGTCTCAACAACGTCGGTCTCGGCCTTGCTGACCAACAAAAGCCATGGCACTGTTGTCAAAACGTCATTCCCAAGGCTTTAACGCAGGCTTTTTAGGATAGATTTGGATGTCTTTTTACGGTTCAGACCCTCGGTAGCTCAAGTTTGCCTCTGCACGACAAAGTCACGGACATGGCGTTACGTGGAGATGAAGTGCCAAGATCGCCGGGCTCGACCTCGGGTCATGCCTCAACAACGTTTGGTCTCGGCCTTGGTGGCCGACAAGGCTTAATGGACGATCTTTACTGCTCCACTGGGCTACGCACAGGTTACATGAACACAGGATTTTAGATTACAATGTCATGGCTTCTTTTTTTTTTTTGGTTTAGACCCTTGAGCTCGCTAGCTCAAGATAATCACTGCATCGAGGAACATCGAGAATCAAGGAAATAAAGAAATGGCTCGCCCTGAGGGGACATTGCCAGGTCACAGGTCAGTCACCTTACCTGACCCAGGTCATGAACCTCGGGCATTTTGTGGCAGTGGCCTTCCGACATGGCCTTTAACCCCGTTGTTCTTTTGCGGTTGAGTTGGTCAAATAAATACTAGTAGTAGAATTGGCCAAACTCGGGTGAATGATTTGACAGAGTGGTCAACTGGAGGTCCTCGCCTCCGACCAGATGAATGATACACCTTGTACATTTTTTGACCGAACTATTCACTGAGCACCTTGGGTGGGTTGTCGGAACCTACAATAGGGTACTTGAGGTCTACGTCGTATAGTACACTTTCTTCGTTTCTTATCTGGCGTTGTTTGTGATCCGGCGTTTCAATTTACGTTCAAGGGAAATTGAATATACGTGGCCTTTTCATTCACTGACGCGTATAATACATTTGACTCTTTCTCGCTCGGACAGAAACCGCGATAAAGCCACGTCTCAATGACCTGTGAGATTTCAAGGACCTTTTGGCGACGTTTGGGCGTTACTGAGATCGTTATCTCCGCTACCTCCACACGCGGGCCCCGCGGCGCTCAGGTGGACGGACGGCGGTCACGTACGCCACTCTGGTTTCTCTCAAATGAAATATGTCGGTAAAATGGTCTGAAAATAATTCAGGACTAACTTGTCCTCTGGCCCGCTAATATCCTCATCGTCTTTGACCCTTTCTCAACCCCCGCTGCGGAGTCCGGTGGGGACTAGACAGGCCCTGTGGTATCAATATATCCTCCAATCCACCAGGCCTAAGTAAAGGATGGTAGAATTCAGCAAAAATCACAGGGTCTGACTGACAAGAGGAGTGTTAGTCCACCGTTAGTGTTTTATCCCCCCCCCCCTGGAAACTGCGCGGACAGACAAAAATAGACAATTGTGGCTAAACTCCCATTTTGCTAAATGTTACTGTTTTGAACCCGAGTCGTTATATAATAGTCTGATGGAGACTAGCCCTGCGGCTCCTGATTATATAAGGTGGCACGGTCCAAGGATTCGCGCTCCAACAATCCTTCTCGCCGCGGCAAAAACTCCCTCGGGAGCAAATCGTCCCTCGTGGCGGCATATTACTCGCGTCGCTCACAGAAAAAAATACCGCCGACGCCCAACAAGACTGCGAAGGAGGCTAGCACGGTCAGTGCATGTGGACGGAGTCCGGAGACCGCAAACCGGTCATTAGTCAGACGGCTGACCGCAGAGGTCTCGTGCGTGTCGTTGGTCTTATCGTAAGCGCAGCCACACGGCTGGTCGGCGCTCGGTGTTGTGTGGCACATTAGCGAGAGGAGTTTACCACCCGACCTTCTCAGTACTGTAGTTACATAATTGATCATCCTACGTCGACCAGTAATGGCTACTGCAGCCCCGAGAGCGGAGCTGTATATTTTGAGTGAAAGGAGCTCCGAGGAAGGACACCGGCCAAAAAGATTACGGATCATTACGTCCAAGCATCGTCATTTCTCGTCGTATGCAACCGTAGTGTACAGGCACTGAGGCAGGGTTATTTTGTCGTCCTTTTAAACAGGTCTACATACTAGTACTAGACATGACAGCATGTTGCAGTCTTGTGATATGATATACTGTATTTTGACAAACCACGGCCTAAATCTTCGATCCGCCAATAGCCTTTCCCTCAAACTGTTCTAAGTTGACCTGTTACCCATGAGATAGCGGCCACGTGGTTATCATTTCGTACACATTCATACTAATCATAGTGTCCCGACGAGGTAGCCTCTACCAGGCTTGAGGAGGCGGCTGGAAAGAGTAGAAATCGGCCAAAATAGAGAGATAAGCATGCCAGGGGAGTTTGGCCGTTGAGAGAACAGTTCGCCGCCCCACG